GGCGGCAGCAGCAGCTGCTTCGAGACGCTGACTCGCGTATAAGCCGAGGGGGGCATTTTTCAGCCCCAAAAATGGGCTGAAAAACTCGGCTTATACTCGAGTATATACGGTACTTGATTTGTTTGACCAAAATTAATGGTGTGTTATTTGGTCAGATGTTTAATGGCTTCTTGATTAGGACTGGATGACAATGATTACTTTTGATAATATTTTAATTGTTTTTTGAGTAGGACTGAATTTTGATTATTTGAAGAGAGAAAATAGGGATTTGTTTAAAGGGTAAAGGAAAGATTCAGATTGGGTGTAATATTAATGTTGTTATTTCTGATAACCCTTACTGGATGCTTGCTGTTTAATAGGGAGAGATGAGTTTTTAGAGATGAGTTTTTAGAAACTGTGATGAGATATGGAATGAAGAGATCTTTGCTTTTACTTTAAGTCCTTAATGTTGATTATACTTGCTGGGGTTGAAAGGGGGAGTTCTTTTTATCTTTTCCTTTTTTATGCACTTTTTATTTTTAATGCATTTCTTTATTACATGGTTGTATACATTTTATTTGTACATTATAATAGTTAATAATTGTATCTGTGTTAATGCTAACACTATATTGCAATATAACTGTATTTTTAAGTCACGTTTGTTTGTTTGTTTGTTTGTTTGATCAGCATGGAACAGGTCCAAAAGAATCTTTTACCTATGGATCTGCACATAAAGTGACTGGAGTTCATAAATATTTTACAGTCCAGTAGAATAAAAAGTGACACCTCCTTTGAATAGATTTATTTACCCTTAGTATAGAATTTTTTTCCCCCTGCAAATTGTTGAAAGGCTGCTGTCATTTTAAAAATCTTAATGGTTATACTTGGCATAGATGAAAGCTGTATCATATTGTCTCATATAACATTCAACAAAATGAGAGTTTATTTCCTTTAGGTGTCATTATCAGAGAATGAGGATTCACAAGATTCTTCGGATAGCATGGACTCTTCCCAGAAAGCAAGAGGTCTGTTAGCACGCCGTCCATCTTATAGGTCTGTATTTTATACCAAAATATAATTTCTTCTCAGATCTGTACTAGAATTATTATGGAAAATAATATTTCATGGCAAACTTGGATTATTTGAAGAAAATGGAAGAGTACCAATTCTTTTGGCCTCATCTATACTAGCCAAATGGCAAAAAAAATGGTCAAGGACATAGTTTTAAAATCATTTTTGGAATGGATAAATTCCCTAACTGCAAAAGTCTGATTAGATAGTGTCTATTTAAAAAAAAAAAGCCTCTCAATGGAAAGAACCAATATTGATCTTTTCAGTTTCTTTAAGTCAGTGGGTTTTTTTTTAAAGTATGGTCTAAGAACCCCTAGGGATCCCTTTTTTTACGGCTCCACAAAATCAATTATTTGCCAGATAATGAAGTTATTTGCAAAAATTTAAAAATGTAAGTTTTTAAAAATTCTTTTAAATGAATCTACCAGGTCACTTATTCTGACAGTTGCTTCCTTATTAAGTTTTCTCAATGATTTAATTTAAAAAAAACTTGGCCAGCGTTTATTTTTTGCAGTTTTACAGTCCTAAATATAAGAAAAATTCTGTGTTGTGGTTCTTTCCACATGTTTTCAGAGAGGAGTAACTGCTGGTGACAAAATAAATAAAAAGTTATTAAAAAGACTTCTAGTGTTTCTTAACTGCATGCATATTAGTATTATAAAAGAGCATAAGAACATCAAACCAAATAGCCATCAAACCAACTAAATCACCATTGTAATAGTAGTTTTTAAATTTATACAGTCTTAGCAGCATTAACAACGCTTTTTGTTCCCTGCTTCTAGAAAGGCTGAGAAGAGTTTTAAAAAAGCAGTCCAACCACAGGATGTAAGAATAGCCCAGTTGCAGTGTTGGGAATAGTCAGAAAATTCAATGTAGTGTTTTTCTTTCACAGTTTCAACAAAACTTTCAAAGACATTGTTTTGTTTCATGTTCAGAACATTTAACTATTTTGAGGTTAGAACATTTTGAGGTGACAGTGTTTTGTACAAGTCTAGATTATAGTACTTCCTGATGAAAAAGTCCCTGAAGAGATAGGAGATGAGTTATTCTGCACAAATAATCTTTGCTCTGCAGTAGGGGAATCCAATAGGTACCATTCTGAGTACTGAACATTGCAAATTTCTCTAGAACTTTTCCTAAACATTAATTTTAGACATAGTGCATTATGGAGTTAGATTTTATTTCCGTGCCTTCACCATTTATACTGAAGCCTCTGAGAAAGTCATACCAAGACTCTGACTTAGATATTTCGAAAAGGAAAAAAACCAAGACTGCTATTCTTCATGTTCCATTTTCTAAATCTTGTTTTGAGTAGGTATTTGTGATTGAAAACAAATAAACAGATAATAAAGCAGGGGGTTGGACTAGATGACCTCCAAGGTACCTTCCAACTTTACTATTATTATTAATATTAATATTAATATTAATATTAATATTAATATTAATATTAATATTAATATTAATATTAATATTAATATTAATATTAATATTAATATTAATATTAATATTAATATTAATATTAATATTATTAAGAAAGTGGAATTCTCTTCTGGATCTCTTCCCACTTCTGGAACTTTTTCTCTAGCTGGCCATATTACTACCGTGACTGAGAATGATCTTAATCTATATTATCTTATGTGACTTTTCTGGCCGTTCTTGGGAAAAAAACCCAGCACCATCATAGTCATTTACCATGTAATCACCTCCCACTTAGATTATAGTAATATGCTAGGTATGATACTTCCCTTGCAGACTGTTCATGAGCTTCGGTTGGTTCACAATATCAAAAATCATGTTTAGAACCAAATGTTTACTAATTCCAAATGTTAATTTCAGTCTGTGAAGACCTAAATCATGTGAAGGAAATATTTTAATGTCTGAATGCCACATAGATTGCTATCTGATGTTCTGGCTAATTGGTGGCATTGATGGTACCGTGGTTAGAATGCAGCATTGCAGGCTAATTCTGCCAGCTGCCAGGAGTTTGATTCTGGCCGGCTCAAGATTGACTCAGCCTTCCGTCCTTCCGAGATTGGTAAAATGAGGACCCAGATTGTTGGGGGCAATATGCTGATTCTCTAAACCACTTAGAGAGGGCTGTAAAGCACTGTAAAGCAATACATAAGTCTAAGTGCTATTGCTGTTCCTAGTGGTTAAAGATCTTGTATTTTCTGAAGCTAACAGCCACAGATTGCCCATTTGTTTTTTGTCTATAACCTGAATTTGAGGGAGTCAGTGTAGTGAAGTAAATTGTTAGATGTGTTTCAAGAAGACCCGACTTCTGTGTCCACTGGGTGAGTTTTGGCAAGCCCTTCTGTCTCTGAGTTTTACCTGGCTCAGGACTATTGTGAGGATAAACTTAGGGAAACCATGGTTTGTCTTTTAAGTTCTGTGAGAAAATATGGGATGTATGCAACAACAGCATCATACAGCAGTATCTCACAACTTCCAAGTTAGCCTGTGAGCTTGTGCAAGAACTTCAGTCTGCTTCTAAAGCTGTTTGGACTTTCCTGGCTATCTGATAGGATATTTTAGTCATGGAATCTAGATTTTAATACTGCTTCCCAAGCAAATGTCTTTCATAAAATATCCACCTTCAATCTTTTTATTACATTTATTATACCTTTCTATAACATATTCAAAAATAGGCATCACTAGCAAACAATCATTTTAATGAAAAGTGTTTAGTTTTATAAGGCTACACAATATTGGACTCTGCTTCTCTTGAATTTGAAAAAAAGCCAAACCGTGCCTAAAATTATACATATTACAATAATCAATGTAATAATAATGTAGCAATTTATTCAGCACTTTTTTCTTCCAGCAATATACATCTGATACATTGTGTTGCTTTTTTATAGAAAAATTTTGAACGACCTTTCTTCTGAAGACACAAGGGATAGGAAAGGAGATGAATCAAATGCTGTTGTCACGTCAGTGCCTGTCAATACACCTGTTTATCAGACCAGCACTGGTCAATATAGTATGTATTAATTAATAAACGTCTACACTGGATACGTTGCTAGCACCCATGATTCTAATTCAGGATTACAATCCCTTCCAAAATTATTTATTATCAGGAAAACGAAGCAATGATTTTGGAAATGTTTTTCATTCAATAATTATTTATTATGAGTTAAAATCATATTTTTCTCATACTAAATATTTATTCATTCAAAACATGTAATCGAACAAGCTAGCATTGAAAAAATGGAGGAACATTTTTAAATTGTCAATTGAAGATTACTTAATACATATTTTTAGGCAAGAGACTGTATTCAGTGGAATATTCCTGTGGGACTGCCCAAAAGAAAACAAATCTTGCTTATTGTTTATCTTATACTGTGCACTATTCAGCATCTTCCCTCTTTCTTTCTGCCTTGTTTTGAAGTTGCCATTGCCCCAAATGGACCGTTACAGTTGAGCAGTCCAGGTGTGGAGAGTATGCAGGGCTTACAGACGTTTACAAATGCTACTGGGACTCCACTATTACAGTATGTGCAGACATCTGATGGCCAGCAGATACTTGTACCAAGTAATCAGGTAGTGGTGCAAAGTAAGTATCCACTTTAAATACAGGTAATTCTTGACTTACAACAGTTCATTTAGTGATCATTCAAAGTTACAACGGCATTACAAATGTGACTTATTACCATTTATCACAGTTACGGCCTTTGTAGTATCCACATGATCATGTGATCAAAATTCAGATGTTTGGCAACTGGTTCTTACTTATGACCGTTGCTGTTTCCCAAAGTCATGTCCTTCTGACAAGCAAAGGCATATTCACTTAACAATTAGGTTACTAACTTATCAGCTGTAGTGATTCACTTAACAACTGTGGCAAGAAAGGTCGTAAAATGGGGCAAAACTCACTTAACAAATGAAATGTTGGGCTCAGTTGTGCTCCTAAATCAAGGACTACCTGTAATTCAAACCATTAATCTCTGAAAGCTGACTGTGTAACCAATCACTTTCTCTCAGTCTAACCTACCTCACAGGGTTGTTGTTGTGGGAAAAATAAGAAGAAGAAGGGCGAGATATTAATAAATAAATATTAGTACCAGTTCATTAAAAGTCCATTTATAACAAGGTTGTTGAATTTTCAATATACCTAAAGCTTTGGTGCAATTCCCAAATTCCTTCCATAATTTATTAGTGGAAATTGATCATAATATTTAGCTTTGGTGACTAAGATGTTCTCCTACAGCAAAAGAAGGGCGACCTGTGGTAGATATTATTCTCCCAGTTGCTCTGGGAAAGGGCTTAGAATTGTTGTAATGCTACTTGTCTACAGGGATTTAGCTCTTTTCCCAATTTTGGCTCTTCTTTGTCCCACCTCTTCCAGCCATCCTTCTGGCCAGGACTATGCAGGTTAGCTGTTTTCTTTCCTTTGCCTTTTCTTTGGTCACCTGAAAGTAGGGTTGACAGGAAAGGGTTAAATCCTCCCTCTGATGAAGGAAAAGCCTCCCTTCAATCTTAATCTTTTTTTCTGAGAGAATTTTTTCTTTTGGCTTCAAGTAGACTGGGGGAAAAAGCAGCAGCAGCAATAATAGAAGAGAATGTCACAGAGGTTAAATAAAATGGGCTTCATGCTGGCTCAGGAATTCTGGGAGTTGACGTCCACGAGTCATAAAAGAGCCAAGGTTGCCTACCCCTGCCCTAGAATGAGCAGTGCAATAAAATCTCTTATTGTAAAAAAATGGGTATTTGCTGTTAAGTCATGTGTACTATTTTCTATCATTTAGCCAGTCTAACTATTTGGGAACTGTCTCTAATGCTTGAGCCATTAAACAATTAGTCCTGACCAATTATATAATCATACTTTTTGATTAAAAAAGTAATGTTGCTTAATTCCGCAAGTTTTGCAATTTTCCACTTTCCACATAGAAATTTCTGAAATGGGCTGAGTATTCTTGCTCATGCAGAGGAGATGACTGTTCATGCAAAGTCTTTGGTTCCCTTTGACACCAAAGAGTAGTTATGCAAGGAAACTAAAGCTTATTGTAGCAGTGGCACCAGTTGTAGTAATTGATTATGAATTATTTTTACAAGCCTCCACTTCTTCAAATTAACATTTCTGTGTATAAGTTTCCTTATGTATTCTGTGGTATATCATCCTTAATAAACAACCACTACTTTTTGTGTTCCAGTACTGCCCACTTTTTCTGAGTGAGACCAATAATTGTTTCCTAACTATGCCTATTTTTGATTCAAAGGACTGGAAATAAACCTCAGCCAAGAAAAGATCCCCTTTCCTTCATTAATGAACTAGTTTTCACAGATATCCTAATTCTTAGAATTTTCCTTTTATTTTAATGCTAGTTTTGGATTATTTGAAAACAAACATGGATATAACATTTTAAATGTTAAACCTCTTGTTTAATTTAAATTTAGGCCTGCTTGTGCCATCTACTCGCACTGAAGATTTTGAACTGCAATTTTTATGCTCAGTGCCCCATTGTTAGCTAATATTTTCAATAATTATAATTAATAATTACTTCTGAAGCATGTAAGATTCCATTTATATATAAAACTGGTATTGTAAGAAAGTTTTTTGTGTAGGGTGTTCCATGCAGTTACAGTCTCCAACATTGCTTGCCTTTCATTGCCCATTCCATCAGATCTGGCAGAGAAGGCGTAGTGGAGATCCTGTCTGTCAGGGAATGACACTCGGCAGGTCCCAGGAGATGGGCCTTCTCAGCCAAGGCAGCCACCTTTTGGAATCTTCTCCCCCCCCCCCCGAAGCGAGGTTAGCTCCGTCCCTCTTAACATTCCACAAACCCCTCGGGATCTGGCTATGCCATCAAGCCTGGTTCCCTTACTGCAGTTGTCAGTATCTTCTTTTGTTCATGTGCTTTTTTATTGTTTTCATATGACTGCTTTTATATATTTGTTGATTTTTAATTAAATACTGTATGCTGCCCAGAGTCACTTTTTTCTGAGATGGACAGCCATATCAATTTCATGAATAAAATACATTTTAAAAGGTGTTTTCAAAAAAAGACTTAATATTCTAATCCAGTGACCATTTGACCTGACTTTTAAACAGCAAAGGATATTGCAATAGAATGGAAATGAAGGGAGAGAGTGCCAAAAGCAACTTACAGCCTCCCAGGTGTTTTATTAGCTGCAGTATTGTAAGAGAAGCTGATTTAAAGCAAGGTCCAGTGCTTTATCTGGTCCCCATGGAGGTCCAGGCGAAGGAAACATCATTTTATATTTTCACCCTCATTGTAGTGAATGAAATTAATTTCAGACAGTAAAGAAAATAACGGTATATGCAAAAATAAAATCACTCAGATTTCCAAATCTTTTTCCAAATCCCGTTAAAAAATGAAATGTAGGAGTCCATCATTTTCAGTATTTGCCTCAAAAATACCCCACTAAAATTGTATATTTGTTTCTTGCCCAACCTTAAACCTAGTGGAATCATTAATTTTATTTGGAGGGTGGAAGTGGCAGTATTTCAGAGTTTGGGAATCGCTGCTTTACCATGTGCTCTACTCTGATTCCTTAACAGCTGCATCTGGGGATATGCAGGCCTACCAGTTACGCAGAACACCAACCACCACTTCCCTTCCACAAACAGTTGTGATGACAACTCCTGTGTCCTTGACATCTCAGTCAACCAAAACAGATGATCCCCAACTAAAACGAGAAATAAGGCTGATGAAAAATAGGTATTTACTTTCCACTTACGTTCTGAAAAGAGATCTTGTGTACAGAGATTACCAATAGGTTTCAGTCTTTTATCTTGCCTAAGGAATATTATTCCCTTCTAAAAGCTTGTTTATATTGCCTGCTTTTTTCCTGATTTCACTTTATTTTGGAGTGGGAAATGCCTTCGTTTAAAAATGCCTTCAAGAAATAAGGGGGAAAGAATTGTTTTTAATAAATAAGAAAACAAGATTCTTGAAAAATGAATTTAATGTATCCCCCTAGGAGTCTTGCTTCATAATGAAAAAGTATTGTGAAATGTTCCATCACATATACCCAGTGGTGGGATTCAGCCGGTTCGCACCACTTCAGCAGAAACGGTAGCTAATTTTTTGTTGCCCAGGCCCAGAATGGACTTCCGGAAGCAGCATCCACACAGAAGACCGGTTGTTCACATATTTGAATCCCACCACTGCTTATACCATATACTGATGGATCACTTGAACGTCTACCGTCTATGATTTTTAATGTGTCAAACTTCTGAAGTAAAACCCTAAATAGGCTTCAGACTATGTTACATCCTTCTGTGGGTACTTAGTTTGAGGCCATATTCAGTGGATATACGGTTATTTTGTTCCTTAACAGGAACAGAGCAGATTTATACATATGCTTTTTCTTGGACTCATTTAACTGTAGACAGTCTTGACAGTTGATTTTATTTGGTATAAAATATTGAAAAAATGCTCAGCATTTATTTCAAAATTTAGTTGAAAGAATTAAATCAGATCTTTATTACTGCCAAAGATCAGCAAAAGGAGGGAAGAGCACTGTCAATTAAAAACATAAAAAGTTCATCAAAGGTTAAAAAAGGAATACAAAGCTAAAAAGATATAGAACAAAATTCTATATATAAAACAAAAATCTAAAAGGAGGGGTAGGAGCATAAGATGAATGTAGGGGATCATAAAGGTTAGTACATGGCAGACCATGTAAATCACAATACAGAGCATTCTAGAATGGCAAATCTATACTTAACCTGGCAAGGGAAATACCCTAATCATCATATAAAGAAAAAAAATGATAATGGCCAGCATCTTCTCTAAGCAAAAATGGAATGTTTGTAAAATATGTTGAATTTTGTATCGTAATTAACATATTTTTGCTTTTGGATTTCAGAGAAGCCGCTCGAGAATGCCGTAGAAAAAAGAAAGAGTATGTTAAATGCCTTGAAAATCGAGTTGCTGTCCTTGAAAACCAGAACAAAACTTTAATTGAAGAACTAAAAACTTTAAAAGATCTTTATTGCCATAAAAGTGTGTAAGAAAAGAAGGTGGAAGCTTTTCTGCGAATATCAGGGGGATTTGATTTTTTTAAAGATTAAAATGAAAGGTCAAAAATCTCTGTTCAAATTCTACAACTTAAAGACTCTTAAAATATTATTTGAAATTCTTGCATGGCAGAGTACTAAAAGAAAGCATGAAATTGTGTGAAGCCATTCCTCTGGCACAACTGGAATCTTGATTAAATCAGGCTACATGGACATGTACCTTCTGTCAATTGAACAATTGGATTTCATGAGCTGTAGTTTAATTTTAAATGCTTGTTAACTTTTGATTGCAGTTAAATTGCAGATAAACTAAAATTGCCATCAGCTGTAAATGTCTGTTAACATATTTAATCAGGATATATTCATGTTTATTCTTTAACCCATCATACTAGACCTGTGCATGTAAATTTAAAAGCAATGGACTGCACATCTTGCAATGAGCATTCATTCAGAGTCCATAAGCTCCAAATCCATGCATTCAGAGTTTCCAGTTGTGTGGTTTCTATTTACTTTTGTCATATTAGTGCACAAAGTCACCTTTGTGTTTTTTGTATATCTGGAACAGTCCTCATATAAGAAGGCTTTTCAGTTTTGTATACATATTTTTTCCTTCAGATTGGAAATTCTAATCTGCACTAATTTGTTGAGACCATAGAGATGATTTCGAAGGCAGACAATTTAAATTTTTTAATGTGCTGTTTATCAGTATTGATAAAAGCAATGGATTCCTTGTGATTGGAGGCACCTGAAGACATGAAATATATACCAATCATAGTTATTACAATGTTCGCTGTTTTATACAACTGAACAAATTCTACTGGAGAATACCTTAACTTTTTTTGCCTATGCATTTAATCACAGGTAAGAAAAATGTCTGAAAAATGAATTCAAGTGAATGTGCATCATGTATGCTATTTGAAGATCCTGTTCCTGGCATACAATGACTGAACAAATGCCAAGATCCTTAGCTCTGCCCATTTTATACCACAGACAAACTAAAATTACAAACCAAAGATAATGCACACAGAGAAACATTGAAGTACTTAATTTCAAGACTCTATTTGTAAACCTAATAGTAATTGGTTAAAATAATTCTGATTTTTATAAAGAAGTAATCCAGCTGAAATTGATCTCAGATATATTTTTATAGTTAAAATATTTACCTTTTATATGGGTATTTTAGATATGTACAATTTCAAAGCAGATATTTTTATCTCAGAATGTCAACTTTATATTTGTAGAATTTTTTTGAGAAACTAAAGCCTATTTCTGTGTACTGGTAGGGATTAACAAAAATATTCTTGAATATTTTGGGGTGGAGGAAGGGTTCCTATTGTTCATACAAAAATGCATGGATCTTTTCAATATGAAGATGCTGTCAGGGATAATTGTGTTATTTTGCTTTCTTATTTTCAAGAAATGTTAAAGACTTATTTTGCATACCTAGTGAATGTTAAGCCAACAGTTGTTGCCACAATACTTTATCATTCCAATGATACCCTTTAAAATTATGCCATTAAATGCATTTCGATCCGTATTTTAGGCCAAGAAGATGCTATTATTATACTGCTGCATATGTTACAATTATGGGCAATTTTGAGATTATCACGACACAGCATTCCATAGAAAATGCCATGAAATCATTCCTTCTGCTACCAGCAGCCCCATGCATTAGAGAACAGAACAGCAGAATATTTCAACACAGCCATGGAATTATGCAGAAAATTGTTAATAAACTTTAAAACTGTTAGCTTCCAAGCGCTAAAGAAGAAAAGAAGCTGCATGGATTTCTGCAGTTTTGGGGTAAACATATCAAAAAATGTGTAACCTGTACAATAGGCTTGACACATCTGATGTAAACTCACCCAGCAAAAAACAACAACTGGAAATGGGAAGCCCTTAAAAAAAAAAAGGTTCCTATCCCTGAAAATAAGCCATATGCTTCTCTTGGTTCTGTTCTCTTTTAAAGACTTACGGGGGGGGGGGGGAACGGGGCTACTTACCACTAAATTGGGCATAGGCAATTTAATGCTTACCAGGTATACTGGACTGAAGTTCACATTATTCTAACCTGATATGATGGACAAAAAGGATTGTGAGAAGTTGTGATCCATGAACCTGGAGGACAACAAGTTGCCTATCTCTGTACTTAAAATATTCTGAAAAAAGAAATTGGATTCTGGGAATGGGTATCTTTGGAAGCTCCTCTTCAGGGCTCCCACTTTCTGCAGGCACAAGCAGAGCTAGGTAAGTCTCAGCAGTCAATGTTATGTGGTGACGTAACATAGAGGGCTGATGTTCAGGGTGAAATGTAGCCGAAGCTATTAGTTTTGCACCAGAGCTCCACAGTTATGTACTGTGGAGAGAAGGGTATATATATATATATATATGCACATGAACTTTTCCAATTATTTATCCTCACCTGAATGTTGAACTCTTTAAAAAAATGCCTATGATATATATCTACAAAAACTTTTAATAAATAAAACTTATCAGAAAGTGCCTAGTTATTTCTTTAAAAATGATCTCTAAATATGGTGCACATGCACATACACACACACGGACAATGTCAGATTGCAAACACCCATCATCCCAACACACAAATCTGCTTTGCCACATTGTTCACATGCATAAAATTGCGAACAGCTGCTGTTCATAAAGCAGAGCACCTGTGTTGTTAGTCTCTGCTAATGGATCGCAACCACCAAGACTAAAGTACAGTATATAGCTCCTACAGCTGAATTCACTTCTGTGCTTTTGTTAATTTCATTACGTTCAGAAGAGAATCGATGTTTTCAGATTTAACACCAATATTTGACATTTAACACTTAACATATAAATTCTGATACCTATTTTATCTTTTGCTAATGTTAGCTCAATATTGCTATATGTATATCTCAAAATATATTTAATAGTAGCAACAAATACTTTGGTATTCAGAAACTATTAAAATAATTATGTTATTTCAGAACAAGAAGAGGCTTTTAAAAAAACAGTATGCAGCCTGCTGATGATGTTTTGCAAAACTAAACATGATTTGCATTGCAACAGTATTCCACATTATCACTAATTTCATGTACTATTTAACAAGATTGCCAGTAGCAAGTATTAGTAAATTCAGTAATGTCCAGTGGATTAGCTATCTGATGAATGATACCTTCTTAATCTTATTTTTTAAACAATTTAAACATTTTCAAGAATAAAAATAATCAAAAATATTTTTCAATTTGTTCAGCCTGTCAGAAGATCTAATACTTCTTTTCCCATATGAAATTAAATAGCCTTAGTTGTTCATTAGTCTCAAAAATAATGATAGTTCTAGTTAATTGGTACATGGATGGGGGACCATCAGAAATAACCAGAGTTGTTATATCAGGACGTTGAAAAAATATCCTGGAAGTTAGCAATGGGCAACCACTTTCACTTTGCTGTGAAGAAAACTCCATGTTCTCACTAGGAATTGAGCCAGCCAATGGGCACAGTTGCATTTTTTTTAACTAGCTGTGGAATACATAACAAGATAGTCTTGTAAGTCAGGGGTCCCCAACCCCTGGTCAGTGAACCGGTACCGAGCTGTGGCATGCCAGCAAGAGGTCCGCACAAACAGCCCCATCCGTGGGATGCAGGCAACACACAAAACCACACTCCGGTCCGTGGAAAAACCTTTCTCTACAGAACCGGTCCCTGGTGCCCAAAAGGTTGGGGACCTCTGTTGTAAGGAATGGATGGCTTTTATAGAGGACACTGGATGAAGCAGGTTATCTGGACTTTTTTTCAGTCTGGACCCATGCCAGGGCACAGCACTGAAACAACATTGACCGCATTTGATTACCTTTGGAGGGCTCAGGATGATGCAACTATTCTGGCCATCCTGGGCCTCTCAGTGGCTTTCAGTACCATTGATCATGGTATCCTTCTGGACTAGCTTCGGGGTTAGGAGTGAGAGGCACTGTGTTATAGTGGTTTTCCTTCCTCCATGACTGGTTCCAGTCGGTGGTGTTAGGAGAGGAAGGATCAAGCCCTAGGTCCCTGAAATAGGAAGATGCCTTGGGCTTGAGCCTCTCATCAATTGTTTTTTAACACCCACATGGAAACACTAGGGGAGGTCATCTGTCTCTGTGGGGTTTGGTATCAGTATGTTTTTTAAAAAAATTTTTTATTGATTTTTCACTTTTACATCAAATGTTTAGAAAGCAGCGTGGTGGTTGGGTAGTCAATAGTCCAATAACAAAATCTTTCATACATATCTCAGGTTGCGTCATTAAAAATTCCCTATTTCCCTTAATTATTATATCATATTCAAGTTAATACAATTCTAATTATAGTTCAGTCAGTCAATACATTTGTCAATATAATTTTGTATACATATCCAAGTCCTGTTTTACGTTTGACCTAATTCCAATTACCGTATTCCAATTTAGCCTTTGATAACCGTAATATTTAAACTTTGGGTAACCCAAATTTCCCTAATTTCATTACAAAATAATTGTCGTGTCTAAAATACACATGTTATTTAACTTCCAGCAGTGGAAGGCAGTCATAGAGAAACCCTGGGATAAAAGGGGCATGATCTAACCATGGAAAGTGGCTGGTATTAGTATCCCCCCTCACTTTAGATTATCCCGCAACAATCATAATCTTACATGTGAACTCCTCTGAGATTTGGGCCCTGAATAAGCTGGACCTGGTCTGTGATTGCTACAGTGCCCAAGGGTCACTGGGTCACCTCTGAGTTTGGGCCAAAGAAAAAGGGTTGAAATGCCACCACTGTTATCACCACCTTGACCCAAGACCGGAGAATTCCACCAACAATCTGGCCATGGAGTAACGTACTCACACAGGGAGGAAGGGAAGCAAACAGTTTAAAAAAAATAAAATCTGTATCTCTGGACAGATTAAAAATATATTGTGTTTAGTTTACCATAAGGGAAGCAGCAGAGGGAACAATTGTTAAGGTCAAATTTTATAATATTAAGTCCAGTGTTAGGTATTAGGGGGGGAAAAACTGAAAAAGTAATTTCTCTCAAAGCTACAGCTGTCAGTGACGAAGTATCAACTGTAAAGTTCAAACACAATAAATTGCACTGAATGGGCAATATTTTTATTGCATATATTAGCAGTTAAAAATAATAAATATTGCTACACCATGGACACAAGTTGGAAAGCTAAGATATCCCAATCCAATGGGATTTTTTTTTCATAAAACATTGCAGAAAACTATCCATCCTGCAGTCAAAAAGAAAAGATAAGGAGTCTTCATAGTCGTGGCTTTATCGAATAAAATAACTTGAGACTGTATCCATCTTCTGTAAAAACCTGTTTGCAGATAGACTCCTGGCAACCGTGGCCGGCCACAACCGAAACCAAAGCTGCTGATCCCTACCAGATAGTACCTGGTGACATCTGGCAGATAGCATGCAAGAGGCCCACCACTGTCTCCCTGGAACATAACACACCAAGAAGAAAATATCAGTGGAGGAAATTCTCAAATATTAGAGGGAAACATATTATTATCCAACACATTTACTTAACGCATGAAGCATACTTTGCTCCACCAGATTTTAAAACTGTAATTGGCTGATATAGCACAATCCACGTATGTATAAATATTAGCTTGGTTCATATGTTAAGCTGAGCCATGTATTATGGCTCACTGCATATTCTCAGCAAAGAAACTGTGAGCTACACCTTTCATGATTTGTCAGGGGAAAAATGGTTTTGTGTAAGATATCCCCTTCCTGGAAATGGAGGTAGTCTTGCCTTGGTTATACTGCAAAATGTGCAAGTCAGTCTCTCAACATCTGATCATGGGAACTCCACAGCAGACCTCCTGGTACTTTTCTGAAAATCTAGTCCTCCAATGGTAGCTGCCAAGAAGGCATTGGGTAAATATCTATTCAGAGAGGCAGCCTTGACCCTTCCTAACTCCAAACCTGGGGGAAAGCTTAAATATTCTGAAAATATTTACTTTATGGCATGTTTGATCACCCATCAACCCAACTATTACAGCTGGTGAGGTCCAGGAGAAGGGTCTTCTCTACCATTGCCCCCGCTCTCTGAAACATCTTTTTCCACCCAACCCCCCAACTCCATAGTAGTAAGGTCAGCTCCAACCCTCCTGACTTTCCCCAAGAGCCTAAAACCAGGCTCTGCCAGTTAGCGTGGGGCTCCATGAGGGAGCATCACAGTGGAGGTGGGTCACAGTTTAACAAAGTGAGAAAGAGCCTGTGGCCTAGAGGTTAACACAGCTGCTTAACGTGCAGACAGCCCAGGTTCGAATCTCAGAAGGGTATGTTTGGCTGATGAGAGCTAAAAAGTTCGAAATAGCTATTCCATTCTCCCTTAATTCTTTGTTAGCAATCCAAATTTTTAAAAAATATAAATGATGTCGCAGTTGCGACTGCTGCCTGTGGATGGCTCTAGTTTGAGCTGATACAGGCAAAAGATTTCTTTCTCCCATATTTGGGTCGACAGGGTGCATCAAAAAAAGCACTCAAGGTAAATCTCCTCCCCTGTATTTTGGGTCATACGGTCTAGGATGACAACTGAGGAAGAGAGGGGTGATTGAGGGGCACACCTCCGACGGCGACGTCAGGAAGGATAGGGGCAACGAGGAGAGGGGATGAATCTGGGGGTGGGTTAGCGAGAAGACCAGCTGATCACGGACAGACGAGGTGGGGTGGTAGGATGCGCCAGGGGGAATTGGAAGCAATAGGGTTGGCAAGGATGGAGCGTGGAAAGCTGGAGGTTATGCGTTCGGATCAGTGTCAGCAGGGGGGAGGTGGCAAGGAGGGAGCATTGGGAATGCTGGACCTGGCCGTACGACCCAAAATACATAGGATAGGGATACCAAAAAAGATAGGATTAGCCAAGAGGGGGAAGGAGGGGGAAAGGGGTGGGGAAAGGCGGTTGGCAGAGGTACCAATGACAGCAACTTTGGGAAAGGTAGGACTAGCAAGGAAGGGGGGGTTGGACTCAAAGAGGAGCCGGCGGATAGTCCAACTGATCGTAGGCAGATGGGGCAGAGAGACGGGACACGGTCGTGCGCACGCACAACCAGGTGTGAAAGGAAATTGGGGGAGATAGGGCTAACAAGGACGGGGGGGCTGAGCCCAAGAGCAAGCCGACAGGCATCCCCACCGGTCGTGGGCAGATGGAGCAGAAGGATGAGGCACGATGGAGCGCACGCACACCCGGGTGTAGAAGGAAATTGGAGAAAAAAAGACTGACAGGGATGGATGACGGAAGGCAGGAACAGCGTGTAGACCAACAGGATAGAAAGGAAGGGAGCGTTGATGGCAAGCCTTTTGGAACACTGGATCTGAATGCGCAGCCTGGAATGAGCAGGAGGGAGCGATTAGAGAGCACACCGGCAGCAATGGTGCTGGGAGGGAGGAGATTGACAAGGATGGGAGGGGGGAAAGGTGTGGAATTGGAGTGCAAAAAAGAGGAGGCGGGACAATCAAGGCAATTATGGTTAGCTAGGAGGGATGGCCCTATCACACGGGCAATGACTAAACAGTTAGGCCAGCAAGGTTTATAAAAAAAGAATCTCCCCACCCCCTAAGCTTTATTCTGAGGACGCTGGCAGGGGACCAGCGAAAGCTAAGTTGTTTCTTTTAACATTGTAAATAATTGTTTTTATTGTTTTTAAATATCTTTTTAGCAATAAACAACTAGTTTATACCTCTCCCGGAGATCAAGGATTGTATTATTGAACAGATATGCCCAGGATTCGCATCTTTGCAGTTATCAAGGACATATATATATAATATATAATTTTTATCTGTTATGATTGTAAGTAGCCCAGAGTTAGTTTATCTGTTATGATTGTAAGCAGCCCAGAGTTAGTGTATGGTAAGATGGGCAGCCAATAAATTTTATAAACAAATAAAAGTGCTCTATAATTAAATTCTCTTTTACCTGGCAACCATCAATTCCTCCTTTTTCAGAGCCGGCACAAAGCATTTCCTTTTTCACCATCCCTGCATACCAATCATGTCTATTACAAGTAGATATTGGAATAATATTGACCTGTGCTTCTTGTAATACATCTCTCTCTCTCTCTAAAATGAAAATTCAAAACAAAGCTGGAAGTACTCCTATGTCTATTTCAGGCAAAAATATAAAAATGTTGGTGCAGAATATTCTTGGTGCGTCATAAGAATCTTAAACCTAACAACATGAACCCCCCTTGCTTCCATCTAGTGACCCAGTCACTTGCCCAAAGAAAAATTAAGAGATTCTTTCAGCATTTGGATATGAGATGAATTTTATGTGGCACTTCCAACACAGCCAGTAGGTATAGAGAGAAGTTATAATGCAATGCTATCTTTCTGCCAGATTTCTTTCTCATTTTTTTCCAACGGGCACACTTTTAACTTAGGTCAAGGTTGTCCAACTTTGGCAACTTTAAGACTTGTGGACTCCATCTCACAGAATTCCTTGGCCAACAAGTCTTAAAGTTGCCAAGTTTGGACACCGCTGGTTTAGGCAGTATTGAGGTATA